CTACGAACCTAATCTGCATTCGTTGACAAAAAAAGTATGGCTAAAACCTGACATCACAAAATTGCAAGAGAGGCTACCCATGGCTGAAACCTATTGATCAACTTTTTTCTTTGATCTGAGTATGAAGCATTGTGCTACATGGATCCGACATGGCAAACAAATCACATAACCTTAACCAGTATGTATCTCACTAGCCTACATCTCTACAAACCAAACACTACAAGATAAATTCCAAATATTTTTAGTAACGGTGTTATGCAGTTTGAACACCTAGATTACATTCTAAAGTACAGGCGTACAGCTCAATATCTAAACTTTTTTTGAAAAAGGAATATTCCCTCTATTTCGCTCTCTCTTTCACCAACAACAAATCCCCAATGAACATACAAAGCTGAAAATCTAGATCTAGATCCTAATTGCATAAATGTTTAATTTGTGCACAATGAATCACAAATACTTGTTGAATCAGATTGACCTATCTGCGTTGCAAAGAAGGAGAGAAATAGGATTGATTTGTCTAAGGCACCGTGCTCACTTTTGTCCTCCTCATGGTGATGCATATAGCTGGCGGCGGCGTGGTGAATGTACATGCTACAAACCAAGACAGGGAGGTCCCTTAGTGCTCCTTGACGGCGACGCCGTGGGAGAGACTCGCCTCCTTCCCTCCTTCCTGGATCTCCCCGTCAAGGGGTATAAAGAAACCAGTACGCAGGAATTAAGACAATGTGAATCGACATCTTGAGCCACAAAACTCAAATATTGCAACATAACTGGAATAACCAAGCAAGAATATTTTACCTTCAGTTGCTCAAATGGATACTGCTTTATTAATTGTCTCAAGTTCGTTCTTGCAATTTCCAGTAAACAGTCTAAACAATTCAATGAATAATCCATCTATAATATCGCAAACCTTTAAACAAAAACAAATTCATAGTCACTTTTTACAGATGAACTATACCCTATCAATCTTCTTCAACCCAAAATAGTGACCCATACAAACTCACACAGATGCCTACATGTGTTGGAATCTTTGACTCCAAACACAGGCATAACCCCAAATACACTACGAAACCAACCACAGATAGCCAAGGCAACTTCTTGTGCAGCCTACGGGATTGTGCTAAACAAGCAGGTTGGCCATGATATGCAAATTTGAATATGCTGCTCACCTTCACTTGATCCTGAAATAAGCATTAGAGTGCAGATACCTAAAATATTTTGACGACAGATACTCCCTAAATTTCTGTGAATATCTAACAAAAAAAACTAATTGGCAGAAATAGAAACTGAGACTCACCTCACACCCGATGAAAACAACATCAATGGTGGATTATGTGGTTGATGAGGAGGGCCCATGGCCTCCGGCGACAGAGGAGGCGTCGACAATCGCAGCGACCTCGTACGGGTTGAGCTCGTCTCGTCCTCCCCCACCCACCTACTAGCATAAGGCACGGCGCACGAGAAGGGCGGATCCATGGCGAAGCGAGAGCGGGACGGGGCCGTCCATCGCCCAATCAAAGCGCGTAGCCTCGCCAGTGCCTCTCGCGAGGAAGACGGTGAGCTCATCCCCGTCCTCCTCCAAGTTCATCACTCGGGATGGCAATGATCTGTAGGTCCATGGGCGGCGGGAGGCGGACACACGAGCAGATCGAGCCTGCTGCTTCATCTCCTTCGCCTACCCATGGTCGTTGATGCCTGCTGTTTGAGGAGCCTTCGGCCTTGTTCGGTTCCTTCAGATTTGAAGGGGTTTGGAGGGGATTGAGAGGGATTAAATCCCCCACAAATCAAAATCCACCTCAATCCCTTTGAATCCTCTCCAATCCCCTTGTGGGAGGGATTAACTGAACAAGCCCTTCGTGGGAAAGACAAGGGAAGTGGAATCATGGGTTGCCTTCACGGGTAAGTGTGACACCCTCGATTTAATTATACACTAATCATACACGCAAATGTGTATGATCAAGATCAAGGACTCATAGGAAGATATCACAACACAACTCTAGACACAAATTAAAATAATACAAACTTTATATTACAAGCCATGGGCCTCGAGGGCTCGAATACATAAGCTCGAAAACACAAGAGTCAGCGGAAGCAACAATATCTGAGAACAGACATAAGTTAGGCAAGTTTGCCTTAAGAAGGCTAGCACAAAAGCATCTGCGATCGAAAAGGCAAGGCCTCCTGCCTAGGAGCCTCCTAACCACTCCTGGTCGTCAGCGGTCTCCACGTAGTAGTAGGCACCCTCGGGGTAGCAGTAGTCTTCAGTGGTGTCGTCGGGCTCCTGGGATCCGTCATTTGGTTGCAACAATCGGGTATGGGGAAAAAAGAGGTAGCAAAGCAACCGTGAGTACTCATCCAAAGTACTCGCAAGACTTACATTAAACTAAGTATGCATCTGTATCAAACGAATGGGTTGTATCTGTGGACTAAACTGTAGAATGCCAGAATAGAGAGAAGGCCTAGTCCTATCGAAGACTAGCATGTTCTGGAAACCACCACCCTGCAGCAACAGGAGGGAGTAGAGTAGCATAAAGTAAAGTAGTAGAAGTGTTATCAACCTCGACCAGAGATCCTTTCTCGACTCCCTGCGAGAAAGCAATCCCAGAGCCATACTATCCAGTTATCAACACAATCCAATTCTCATCACCATCCAGTTCTCATCACAAGTATCCAGTTCTAGTTGTATCGATCGAGATACAACTCCAAGTGTTCGTTATCATAGGACATGTTATCGATAGATGTTTTCTTCCCTGCAGGGGTGCACCAACTTACCCACCACGCTCGATTAACTCCGGCCGGACACACTTTCCTGGGTCATGCCCGGCCTCGGCCAAACAATACGCCGCAACCCGATCTAGGCTTAATAGAGAGGCCAGCACGTGCCCCCAGGGGTCTTGGCCCATCGCCCCGGGAACTCCTGCACGTTGCGTGGGCGGCCGGTGAGCAGACCTAGCTACCTCCTTCAACAAGGCAGGAGCTTACGCAGTCCAACCCGGCGCGTGCCGCTCAATCGCTGACATCTATTAAGCTTCGGCTGATGCATACGACGTAGACCGTCCATACTATGCCCACGTGACGGTTAGTGCTATCAGGCCAGAGGCCCCTCGGATCAAATATCCAAATCATAGTGGATTAGGAACGCGCGGTAACGAGCAGAGACTCCCGATCGATGTGACCCCGTCGCCTTGTCTCGAGTACTTGCGACAAGGGCTAAGAATGCCCGGCCACGCCTCGTAAGTATCTCGCGGGCACCTTCCAGGTCAACCCGACTCCACATCACTTGCTATTAAGCTGCGCGGGTACCCCTCAGGGTCGACCCGTCTTTAGTAACATGGTTCAGTGTAAAGTCATAGTAATCATAGTAACTGGGTGTCTAACACCAAGGGGAAAACCCGAGGAATCACCCCCGGTGAATTCCACTCGATGTTATCATCAAGGTGAACGTAAGAGGATCCACCCTCGAGGTCCACACTTGAGGGGTTGCACGACAGAGCCGTAACGGAAGTGGTTAAGGAGGAAATCACCCTCGATGACCATGACCGAATAGCTACACTACAGAGATTTCATCAGGAGTGATGTAAGAGGTTCCACCCTCGGCACTCGATGGTAACTCTGCAGAGTCGAGCAACAAAATGGGTAAGTGATGTGAGGTGCCGGGGCCTGGTTTCGATCCCATTGATCGGGTCTTCGATGATGAAGCAGGGGCAACAAGGACAAGGTGGGGGTGAGTGATGGATCACTAACAAACCTATACTAAGCAGTTTAGGATAAGCAGGTAGGTAACAATAAGCAGGTTACAAAAGCAGGCTATGCATCAGAATATGAGCAAACAATAACAGTATCAAAATCTAATGCAAGCATGAGAAAATTGAATGGGCGATATCAGGATGATCAAAGGGGGGGCTTGCCTGGTTGATCAGACAAGAAGGATGGGTCGTCGGTGATGTAGTCGATCACAGCGGCATCGGCAGCCGCCACGGGGTCTACCAAAGAGAAGAGGGGGGAGAAACAGTAAATACATAGCAAGCAAGTGCATAACAGGACAACAGGCATAACTAGATGTGTTCTAACGCAGTCCTAGACGTTATAGGTGAAGGGGGAATTCAACTGGGAAGGTGTTCCCGGTTCCGGACCTGTGTCAGGCAGATGACCGGAGGGGGAAAGTTCCATGTTCAGATAGTTAGAGGCATCTGACAGGTATGTGGGTAGTGTATTCGGGTTCGTCTCATCGTTCTGAGCAACTTTCATATATAAAGTTTTTCGATCCGAGCTACGATTAATTTTCTATGATTTTTCAAAGTTTTAAACATATTCTGGAATTAAATAAATTATCATAAAAAAATACTACGTCAGCTTGACATCACTGTGACGTCAGCAGTCAACAGGACGACTGACCAAGTCAAACTGACCTGTGGGTCCATCGGGACCCACATGTCATTGACAGGGAACTAATAGGGTTTTATTTTAACTAAACAAGGTTAATTAGCAGGCATGCCCCACGTGTCATTGTCTAATTAACATAACTAATTAGTTTTAATTAAAACAGTTTAACTAGACTAATATAAATAGGGGCCCACTGGTCAGTCACACAAAGGCGGGGCCCACTGCGCCACGTCGGCGTATGCGCCGGAGACAACTCCGGCGACCAAAAACGTGACGGAGCTCGCCGGACTTGGCCGAAAAAACGTTACGGCGCTCCGTTCGGGGCGTACTTAGGCTCGTTCGAATGAGCGTTCAATGCCGCATCCATCTACGGGAGCGGTGCGGCCGTAAACGGCCGAAAGCTACGGCGGCGAGCGGCGGAGCGGACGCCGGAGTTCGGCCCTCGCACGAACTGCGGCTAGAGGACACATCAGGACTACTGGGGAGGCTCTACGAGGTCCTGGCGAGTCCCAGAGCACGGTGGCAAGGTCGGATGAGCACGACATCGACGAGGACGGCGGTGACGAGCTCCGTTGCGGAGTGGGCTTCGGGCGGTGATGGCAACGGCGGCTACGGTGATGGATCCGTGCGGGGGAGCGAGGGGAGAGACGTGGTGGCTCACCGGGAGCCGTAGGGAAGTGGCAGTGTGCTCTGGGAGGCGCGAAGCATCCGGAATCGACGGCGATAGACGGCGGCGATCCGAGGAAGGAGAAGAAGATGGCGGTGGTGTGGAGGCTTCCCAACACGTTCCGTCCGGCGTAGTCGACGTCGGGGAGCCGTTCGGGCATGTCGGCGAGGCAATCGAGGCACGATGGCCGCGGGATCGAGCGTCACGGCGGCGAGCTCTCGGGCAAGCTCGCAGCGGGGGCGATAGAGAGAGCGAGGGAAAAAACTGGGGGTAGCTAGGGTTTCCAGCGGGGTCGAGGGTGGCCTTAGCCGCGCGCGGGGGAGGGGGGGGGGTCGGCGGATGGTCGCCGCGTGGCCATCCGCGGCTTGGACGAGCGCCCGGCGGCCACCGAGCTCGGGTGAGCAGTACGAGGAAGGAGGGGACTCCAGGTGGGCTGGGCCGCACCTGTAGCTAGTAGGTCTAAGTGCACAGTAAAAATTAGGCCCCTTTTTATTTTCTTATTTCTGTTTCTGTTTGCAAAAAGTTTATCACCTAAATTATTTTTATAACATAAGGGAGCTAACTCATAAATTTCAGGGCAATATATCCTAGCACCAAAAACTAGTTTGGGTAAAATAGTATTTCAAAATTAAATTTAGATTAATTTTAAGGTTACTAATTGTTGTTGTTAGCCACTGTTTCAGGTTGTTAGTGTCACTTAATTAATCCATAAAATGTTGGTTACAATTTTATAACTGCCTCTGAATTATTTTCCATTTAATGAACATTTTAGTTTTTGATTTGAACAACTTTTATTTTCCACTTTGAATTTAATTGAAGTTTGAATTGGTAGTTTGAAAATCTATATGATGCAAATGATGATTAGACACTGTTAAATTTGCTGACATGGCATTAACTAAGGGTGATCACTGTAGCATGATTCTCGGGGTGTTACGGTAAGATAGAATCAAGCATCCAATCGCTGGCTTGAGTCAGGGTCGGCTGCA